TTGTAAAAATTTAAACACGGGTGACTTGACATTATGAGAAAATGGAGATAATTGAAACATGAGTAATTTGCGATTTTTGAAAACATGGGTGATTTGAGAATATGGGTAATTTTGATAACGTGGGCATTTTAAAGTTGTAAAAACATGGGTTAATTGGAGATTAAAGAAGTTTTCCCAATTTGAAATAGTGAAATCATTGGTAATGTGAGATTTTGAAAAGTCATTAATTTATGCATATGTGTATTTATATTTTATATTTAACTCGTACATAAACATTATATGATTGATTTCACAGACATCAAGGATCATTATACCGTATTCACTATAGTCACAACAAGTGATTGAGTCACACGCGCGCACACACACAAACACCCCCCCCCCCCCCCAACATCAAGGTTCATTATACCTTATTCACCTATAGTCACAATAAGTGATTGAGTCACACGCGCACACACAAACACCCCCCCCCACCATGAATATTTATGACTTGTACACACCTAGATGCCACAGATCTTTGCTGGGTACACACAAACAAATAAATAGTGAAGTCTGGCTGACTTATACATGTCATTGAGTGAGAGAGAGAGTGAGATGCACACATACACACGCACACACAAAGTAAGGTTAAAAAAAAACCTTTTCCATGCCTTCATGCATTTTGGGCATATAGGGCTAGCCTATATTTTATAGACCAATTGGCACTAGGTGTGTCATGTGGTCAAAATCATGCCAGCTGCCTTTACTTCCCAGGACTTTGCCTGGTAAAGAAGTAAAGTAAAGATCCCTTTTCACGTCTTAGGTGCATTGGGCATATGGGAAAAGAACCCATATTTTACAGACAAATCAGCACTAGGTGGGTAATGTGGTCAGCATTACACCGGCCGTTTTTACTTCTCCAGGACAGCCATCCTGGTACCCATTTAAGGCTGGCTCGACCTGCGACGCCCCGCACCATGATGAAAATCCATGCAGCCAGCAGTGGGTTTCGATCGCAGTACGTTGGAATTACGAGTCAGACTCGCAGCGCCTTAGCCACGGACGCGGCTGAGGATTTGACCTGGTACCCGGTTAAGCCTGGGTCAACCTGGGAGCCACGGTCATTTTTTAAAAAAGGTCTGGCTCCATCGGAACCTGAACCCACTGCTTTTCGGATCCAGAGGCAAGTGTACAACCACCACACCACACTATTTTATCTATAAATTATAATTTAGTCATGAACATTATCGATGTAAAAACTGTATATGTATGTGGTAACGTAATAAATGGGAACATTCAATCAATAATGTATGTATATGTCATTCATTTTTCTCAACAATTGAATGCACCCTGTTTGTTGTGTATGTGTGTAATGACGCCATCAGCTGAGTTGTTTCTTGTGTGTGCTTGTGTGCACTCTACATAATCATGTACATAAATATATATATTCTTATTGGCGTTCACAGGCTGCAAACAGATGTTTTACAGATCTTTTTTATTTTGTATGCAGATTGTTGGTTCTGTTCTCTCAGACATATGTACCATGACTTGGAAGGAAGCCCCAAATTAGTTGACTCTTACGACATGCTTGTTGGGAAGGCATTGGGTCTGTTCCCTTTTCTCCACAGTGGGGCAGCAGAACAAACATGGGGATGTATATATATGTGTGTGTGTGTGTGTGTGTGTGTTGTGATGGCGAGTGTTGTGATGGACATAAATAAAATAAAGAACCCGTTTCCCCCCCACTGGATGCTGCTTGTCCCATATTTTGTAACCAGTCAGCACTGGATAAATCTTGTGATCAAGTGCTGCCACCTTTATTTCCCATAAATATTCTTGAGTGCATATTAGCCTGGACAGATCAAGGAATATGGGTCATTAAAAGCAAACACTATGAAGAGGATCCACATTATTTGCTATCAGCTCGGCTGGCAGATGGTCTTGACATTATGTAACCACTGTTTCCTCTGTGAATCACATCAGTGTTTAGCTCAGTATTGTAATATTTCGTAGACCAGTACGGTACTGCCCAGGCTTTGTGTCATGGAGACAAGGAACTTCATCCCTGGCTTTAATCAGTACAGGCGGGTCTTGCTAGTCACACTCCCCATCGCCATGGAGTCTCATGCCTCCTCATATATAACGCTATCGTCTGGAAAGATGGAAAGTTGCCAATCAGTACGGTACTATGGGTGGGTTAAGTACACTCATATCACATGTCTTCAATCAAATAAACATGTTGACACCTGCCTTGATTGTGTAATCATAGTACTGTCGTAGGGACAGTGTAATGTAATCAAGTAAAAAGTAAAGTAATGGGTTTTTTCCACGCACTGTTTGGGCATATAGGGCTAGACCTATATTTCATAGACCAGTCGGCATTCGGTGGGTGAATGTTGTAAACACCAGGCTGGCCACCTTTTACTTCATAGGAGTACCTGGAATTACCCGCAGAAGGCTGGGTCAACCTAAGAGCCAAGGTCATTTTTTAAACAAAAAGTCTGGCTCCATCAGGAACTGAACCCACGACCTTCCAATCTGCAGTCGAGCGTCTAGCTGCTACACCACAGCGGTCGGCTCTCAATGTAATCAAGTAAAAGAGCTGTTTCAGACCAGCTGTGCTTCAGAAATATAGTACTGGATCAGTTTTTTCTGACACTGAACAATACCACGTAGGTGATGTGGTCAACATAACGTCAGCCGCTTTTACATCTCATGAACTTTCCTGTGCTACCCATTTTAGGCTGGGAACTAAGAGGTCGGTTGTAAAAATTATACCGTATTGTGGATTCAAACCCAAATCCTACATGCTGAAACGGAAGCATCTCTCCATTGTGCTGCTGCCGCTGTTCCTCTGATATATTCCAGATTTCCACCACATCGCTGGATTTGTGTTTGTTGCTGCCAAATTGCATTTGTTGCTTCTTAAAGTTTGGGCGTCTTATACAATTGTATCCTGTTGGAGACACCATTTTATTTGTGCAGCGGTTGTGTTGTACATGGTGTTCAGTATGACTGGTAGTCGGTTTACGTATAAGCTGGTGAAATACCTTATGTAGTATTTCTACGTGTGTGTATAGCCAACTTTTCATGTCCGACAACTTCCATCAACGACGTACTGCATTTCTAGTGGTGACTGTCAGCTTTTGGCGCCTCCTGCAACTGAAATGTGCATTTGCTCCTTGCGCATATTTTTAGATTATTCCGGGGCTGTTTGTTTACCCCCGCCCCCCCCCCCTCCTTTTTTTTTTCAAACGCGACAGTGAGGGACATTTCATTTGATTTGCACTGGCACAGGAACTGAGCTAATGTGGGGGAACCCGATTGCGGTGATGAAGAAGCCTCGACTAAGACACCAGTGCTTGAGTAATGAAACACCCATTTCCTGAGTTGTAAACTGACCTGAGATAAATTCGCTGGGAGTTTATGTGGTGAGGTGTGAGGTGCGATCTTCACATGGTTATTATTCTATATGGAAGTAAGTATACATAGAAAAGAGCTGACAATGTTGTTACAGTCCATTTACTCAGTAAGATCATCAATAATGGCGTTCTTTAAAGAGTCAAACTTGGATCTGCGTTGTACTTTTATTATCTTTCTTTATTGTTCTCTCAAGCTTCAACCCAAATATTTCATGTATGTAATTAACACGGCGTCTGTGGCTTACGCGTTGCAAAGGGAGGTAGAATCGACTACTACTACTAATTCTCATTTTAAATGTAGCAATATGGGTCTTGACACGACAGGGGAGATAAGTGATCTTCAACCAGCATTTATTTCCAATGATGCATAATAACACTTTCATATTCACCTGTGGTGCCGACACAAAGAAAACCCTAGGGAGGGTGCTTCAAAACGTTCATCCCCTCCCTCCCCCTTTCTACCCTTACTCGCAGTGCCGGGTTCGATCCCTGCTGCGGATTATTTGTCTTGTGCTAGTTTCGAGAGTGGTACCGAGAGCTGACCGTTCAATAAGCAATGGCAAACTACTAAACGTAAAATTTGCTTTGAAAAATCACAACAGCCAATAAATGCTGGGGTTGGTTCTGCAACGTCTTGTGAAGAATACACAACTAACTGGATAATTATGTTCGACGTCACTGCTCCTCGGACAGGCCCATGAGTGTCCGGTCATTTAGATGTAGCAGACAATCAAATGGAGCCATATGGTATTAATATATATATATATATATATATATATATATATATATATATATATATATATATATATATATATATATATATATATATATATTACGTATCATGACCTCGAAGAGGCAGAGGCGTTCTTGTTGCATCACTTGCAGGTCGCGTAATCTTTCAAAGATTGTTAACTAAAAAGTTTGCAAAGCAGAACATCTTTTCACTGAGATTAGCGCCAATTCCCCATTATGTTATATCACTGTAGTCATTATCCTCTTGTGGGGTGCAATTTTTCGTTTTTTCTAAGCCCCACTCTGGACTTCCCAGGGGCCCCAACATAGCCTGGCCATAAATGTGGTCTAAAGGCTGAACGCGGCTTCTGGGACCTCTCCACGGGTGATCCTCAGCCGCATGGTGGCACTTTGTGTCATCGGGAGTTCATCGCTTGTGTGATATCCTGGTGGGGTAAAATCTACTACTACTACTAATTCCTATTTTAAATGTAGCGATATGGGTCTTGACACGACAGGGGAGATAAGTGATCGTCAACCAGCATTTATTTCCAATGATGCATAATAACACTTTCATATTCACCTGTGGTGCCGACACAAAGAAAACCCTAGGGAGGGTGCTTCAAAACGTTCATCCCCTCCCTCCCCCCTTTCTACCACTACAATTTTGCGGGAGAATATGAGTGTCAAATCTTTAGCCACACCCCCCCCCCCGCCCTCGATTTTAGCGACCTACTATGGGCAATCCTTGGTATATTGTCCACAAAACGTAAATTATGTATTTAAAAAACAATGTAACACTCTTGGCTTGGTCACAAACTATAAAAAATAAATTACTTGTGTCCCTTTTCTATAAACAACTGTCCTGTATCATTTGTTAGCACGTCCTAATCCTTTATTTCTTTCTTCAATGATTCCTAGTTTGATACCCAGCCACGTGAACTTTGCCCGGACTTCTTCCTGCATGAGGTTAAAACACATGGCGATGATTGACAATCCCATCACTAAATACAACGCACACGTTATCAGTTTTTCGTTGTTATCAAGATCTTTCCCGGCGCCGAAGACGAAATCTCCAAAACCAATGGTGCTAAGAGTAACAAAGCAGAAGTAAGCTCCGATAAGATAGTCCCAATCTTCCTCCCAAAGTGAGAAAAGGACAGCGCCACCAAAGACGTAACTGGTAATGATTATGAGGCTCACGGACATAGGAACTCTGATTTCCTCTTTGAAAGTAACTTTTTTAGTAGAAAGATCATCGCCGCTGTAGGTAATGTCAGGCACGTCTTGCCCGCCATTGCCTTGCTCCACCAAGCTAATATCAGCATCCCTGGCCTTGGACCGCTTGGACGCCACTGACCGCGTACTTCCCGAGGTGATGATTGTGCTGCTGGAACCCTGGGTGTGTCGCTTCTTGCTGTAGCTGGTGGGGCAGCAGAGACAGACCATGAACTGGCATAAGTACTTGTAGAAGAAGCGGAAACAGTGGGCGAAGGAACTGCCGATGTTGGTGAGGCACAAGAGAGTCAGTGGAATTCCTAGGAGGGCGTAAAACATAGTGACCAGTCGGCCTAGAGATGTCTTTGGAGCTATATGACCGTATCCTGTGGAAGGAAAATATATAGTCAGTATTTCGGTCATTTTCTTTTTTTAAATTACAAATTAACAGCCACCCAGTTTTACGGAGAAAGAGGAGAGAGTTAAAAAAAAGGTGGGGGGGGGGGGGGTAACAGACATTCATCCAGTGTTTTACATAAAAAAAGAAACAAAATTGAGGTGAGAGAGAGAGAGAGAGAGAGAGAGAGAGAGAGAGAGAGAGAGAGAGAGAGAGAGAGAGAGAAAGCGAGAGAGAAAAGGACACATTCAAAAAATATATACAAAGTAGAGAGAAAGAGTGAGAGAGAGAGAGAGAGAGAGAGAGAGAGAAAGAGTGAGAGGAGAGAGAGAAAGAGTGAGAGAGAGAGAGAGAAAGAGTGAGAGGAGAGAAAGAGAGAGAGAGAGAGAGAGAGAAAGAGTGTTATTGAGTGTCGTTCAACCCCACCAGAACTGGACAACGAGCGATAATCACCCGGTGACTAAAAGTGCCACCATTCGGATCAGAATCCCTTAGTGCAAGTCTCAGAAACTCCACTGAACCGTTAGGTTATATTAGGACCCCCATATTACAGACGGGATAGGGCTTTAAAATAACACAAAACTGCGTCGCATACTGGGCCGGATCGAGAGTTAGATAGAAAGAGAAGTAGAGATAAATTAAATTGTGTTCCTGACAACTGTAACATTAAATCCGTGTACCTAAATCACCATATATGCTCTGTGAGACCCATATTGTTATTTCTATAACTTCTTCAGAATTATAAATAACTACTTGTCAGGATATAAAGAGTTACATTAGTTAGTTAGTTAGTTGGGTTATCATCATTGCACTCCGGACATGTCCATAGGTGCTCAGATCCTCCCCTCAGTATGAATCCCAACGTCCGATGGCTAATAGTACCAGTTCTATGTTGATTAACAAGTCTTCTGACGTGTCCGGTGTGCGTCTCGTTTTTTGCTGTGCCGATCTTAATTCCCAAGTCTGCCATTCTGGCGAGTGATGTGGATTCCCTGCCACCAAAGTCCTCTATCCTTCCCATTTCTCTGAGGGCATTGATAATATCAGCATGATCCATAGGCCGACCGTCGGTAGTGATAGCGGATCCAGCCAACCTGTCAGCTCTTTCATTTCCATCGACGCCTGCGTGTCCCGGAACAAAAATAAAGGTGACTACTCGCACAGTGGACTTCTGAATTGATTCAAGCCATTGTCTTCGCACTGAACCTGCCTGAACCCTCCGGATCATACTCATTGAATCACAGAGTATACATATGCGGGTGTATTTTTGTGTTTCAAGCCAGGCAAACGCTTGCGTCACTGCCATCACCTCCATCGTCATGCTGCTGGTTGTCATGGAGAAGGCGCCGTTGGCTTCTTTGACTGTTCTGCCCGCTGAGCGTGCTGTAAATGCCCATGCGCTTCTTCTTTGGCGTATAACTGATCCGTCTGTATAGATTAGTGCATCTGCTTCGTTGACCTCTGCATTAACAGCAACAGGATTATCTTCTCTACATCGCCTGTTGAGTGTGACAATACAGGAAAATGTACAAATAAACATTAATTTCACAATAGTACTAAACGTTTATTAAAAACACACACACACATACACAAATATAATTCCATGACATATTTTCCCCTTACATACAGTGTGACTATCAATATGGGCACAAGCATATTCTACTGCATATGTGCAAAAATTACCTCTATAATGAAGATAGCCATTAACTATGAACCTCCTGTTTTCACTGTGTCTTTCCTTTAATTACATGTCTTAGCATAAGTATATGCTCATCCCATCCATTCATGCACGCCTGTGATGTTGTATGTTGTTTGCGTATCTACTGACTGATGATTTTACGGACACAAATCACTCACACTTTCTTTATGATATATTTGTAATTTGTTTACATTATTCGCGGTTCGCCCATTCACCGCACAAAGCAGTCATATATGCCGTGTGGTATACTTCTTATTTATGCAGTCATCCATGACGAATTTACTCATTCATTTACCCTGTGTGAGCTCCATGAGCCCATTGTTTGGGGTGGGGTGGGGGTGGGGGTGGAAGAGGGGTGGAACAGACTCACTGCCGACAAACACGCACATCTTAACAGAGAGACCTTGTGGAGACCACAGGCACCTTTTTAGACATTTTGTGGTGAGAACCGGCACCCTAAAAAACACTTGGATATTTTTGTCGAATATTATTCTTGTTGCAAATTGAACCAGTCAGTCTACAGTGTTAGGATCGCTTTCTCTGTAAAACCTGCAGCCTGTCTGACGACATATATTTACTTAGACGCTCAGCAACCTCCCTCCCCTCTCTCTCTCTCTCTCTCTCTCTCTCTCTCTCTCTCTCTCTCTCTCTCTCTCTCTCTCTCTCTCTCTCTCTTTCTCGCACACTCACACAACACTCACACACATACTCAATCGCTCCAAAGCCTGACATAGATATGCAAACATAACCACATAAATATTTCGCCTCTTTCCGAAAAACTATCAATCAACGTCGGCAATAAACAAGAACAATTCCTGTTCTGGAGCTCTAGAATGTATTCACAAATAACTGTAGATTCCGAGCAAGTTTTCCCGGCCGATTACAGTTGACTGCTGCTACAAGAAGATGTCGACAACAGAAGACACTCGGAAACAGTAGCAGCTAGAAAAAAAAATGTAGACAGATGAACCAAAAATATTACCGGTTATCTTGCTATTTTTTGCTGTGACATTTTGATCAATACATTAATGGTATACAAATCAGATTACATTCACAGCTCAAAATCGTGTACGTGCAAGGTGAACAATGGGCAACACTTACTTATCTAGTCAACTCCTTGTGAGATGCAATTTTTCGTTATTTGAAACCCCACCCTGGCTCTTGCCAGGGGCCGCAATATAACCCGGATATAAATATGGTCTAATGGCTGAACGTGGTTTCTGGGACCTCTCCACGGGTGATCCTCATCCACATAGTGGTACTTTTTTGTCACCGGGTGTTTATCGCTTGTGTAATGTCCTTGTGGGGTAAAAATCTACTACTACTACTACAATGGTCAAATTACTCTTGTAAGACTTCCTGTGCCTTATTACTTTTCTTTGGTCCAAGCGAATTCCGAAGACAATTAGTGCATACGAGGAGCAGATGTCGTGTAGCGGCTAGACACTCTTACGAGGATCTGAACGTCGCGGGTTAAAATCCGCATGGAACCGATTTTTGTTCCAAACATGACCTGGGCTCCCACGTTAATGCAGTCTGAAATGGGTACCAAGGAAAGTCCTTAGAAATAAAGGCAGCTGGTGTGATGCTGACCCATCGAGATGATGCTCTGTAGACGAGTCTAGCCCTATATGCCCGATGCATCACTGGCGTGTCAAGAGATCTTTATGGGCACATCAGTGATGAGGTTGTACGAATTGGTTGGATAATCAAAATGTTTTTAATAATAATAATAATAATAATAATAATAATAATAATAAATAATAATAATAATAATAATAATAATAATAAATAATAATAATAATAATAATAATAATAATAATAATAATAATAATAATAAAAGAATCTCAAGTGCCACTTTTCTTTTCTAGACATATTTTTAAAGATCTTCTGATTTATTCATTTTTGAAATGGATTCTCCAATTCCGAACAAATATTTCAAGAATCACTTTTATTTTTCTCCCATGGATTACAGATGGATAATCATAGCACAGCACACGAACCGTGACACGATGTGTGTGTGTGTGTGTGTGTGCGTGCGCGGGCGTCGGTGCATGCGTGTCTGTGTGTGTATGTGTGTATATATGTGTGTATATGTGTGTGTATGTGTGTGAATAGGTGTGTGTGTGTATTGTGTGTGTATGTGTATTGTGTGTGTATGTGTGTGTATAGGTGTGTGTGTATGTGTGTGTGCGTGTGTGCGTGCGCGGGCGTGGGTGCATGCATGTCTGTGTGTATGTGTGGTGTGTGTGTATGTGTGTGTATGTGTGTGGTGTGTATGCATATATATATATATATATATATATATATATATATATATATATATATATATATATATATATATGTGTGTGTGTGTGTGTGTATGCGTGTGTGTGTATGTGCTAAATTACACATTCTCTATACATGATTGTTTGTAAGTAGGGTTCTTTCTAGTTTTAAAATTTAGCACAGGCAAAAGTTCCTGAAAAAAGCCAAGAAAGAGGAACAAAGACGAAAAAAGATAACTGAATTATATCTACATGTGGGTTTCGGGGTCCCATTGTGGAGAAAACAAGAACAGACCCACTGCCTCCCACAAGAAGCATGTCGTAAAAGTCGACTAACTGATAGCTTCCTTCAAAGTCAGAGTGCATATGCTTAAAATGCAGGGGACAAACAGACTGTATACAAATAAGCCAGATCTGTAAAAGTTATGCACACGCAAAACTCAGGATCCCGAACAAAGCTAAGCTTCAAGAGTGGACGAACAGCCATGTCTTTCCACAGGAGTTTACAGCCTGTGAACGAAGAAAAAAACTGAATTATAAAAATGACAAACTTCAGAAAATCTCTGAAATAAATTCTACAAGGTCGCACTGACACAAGAAAGATCGATATTTAAAAAAAAAAAAAGGGGGGGGGGGAATTCAAGATTGGGATGTGGGGGGGGGGGGGGGGGGGGGGGGGTTGAGCTGGCAACTTTTCAGGAGCATGCTTATTTGCAGACAGATTTCCAGAAAGAATGCAAAAGCACGCCACGCAGATTAGTCCAACAATTTCAGATTGAAAAAAAAAACTTCAATTGAAGTGTCTTGTGTTCGATGCACACAATAAACGGAGTCAACTATTTTGTTCTTCGCTGTGTGTCTAAATTTTATTTCTCGCTGTGTAAAGTTTAAGAAAAACTCTCAGCTGAAATTAAGAGGCAGGGCGTTACTGTCTTCTTGTCCATGCGTTGGTAGTCTTGTTCTGTCCACAGCCTTCTGTTTCGTGTTCTTTCAATCAAGTCTGACACAGATGATCCTCCGTGC